ATAATATTATATGAAATTGTTTTAGATTGGCAAACAGCCGGCTCCGTATTATGTGGGCTCGTCGCAGACCTTGCCACGTGGGATGTACGGATCAGATCGTAACAAAATCTCAATGGGTAAGTAATATATGAACTTATATTTTAAGAGCCTATCTATGTATATATTTGTACACTATTTTGTGACCCAAAGAACGTCGTACAAGGTCACATATGTGTGTACTTACATATATGTATATATACTCATATATCTTATGCATTCTAGTTCTACAATGTCAAAGCAGCATAAATATGTATACGATTGTTGAAAAAACTCCAATGTAAATATTTGATGTATTTTTAAATTAAATATGAAATATGAAGAGTCTGGGATATACTATGGGAACTTATTTGTTGGATACATTGTATTGGTCAAATGCATCAACACAGAAAATCGAAATTCTCTAGGTCTAGCAATATTCGAGTAACGCTTTGCTAATCGATGAATATTTGAAAAACATTTTTTTCTAAAATATTTATTTATTAAAAAATACTAAGCTGTGCGATCTTTCAGATGGATATACCAGCTCTCCAGAGCGGAGTACACGGAGCAACTATGAGGAGCCATACTATAGCCAATATGGTACGCGCGGACCTGTCGTCGCGCCTATCATAGACGAGGAGCAAAGGTAAGCTGGAACTGATTTCTCTCTGCTTCCCCCAAATTTAGGAAAAACCATTTTCATATGCTAACTAACTTTCATCATGGTTTCCATTATTACGCTCAAAAAATTTTATTATGAAAAAAGAGAAATCAGGAAATATGCTCTAGGGGCAAGCAATACAAATATTGACGATTAGATATGTATATGCTATAAGTTAATTCAACAATAAATTTCCTAATTTCGCTAAAGGCTTTGTTTACCTATACAGGAGGAGTAAGAAATGTTTTCTAAATTGATTATTCATAAATTATCAGAAATCAAACACAAATAATGATTACGTCGACTTTTTTGACTGTATCGATAGATAATAATATCAATATGCATACTTTCTCTCTCTCTCTCTCACATACTCTCTTTAACACTGAGTTTCACTCTCTCTCTCGTTCACAGCGATGTCGCCCTCGTCGAAGATCAATATTCGTTATATGGGATAAAAGTTGGCCCAAATCGTCTGCCACACCGTGGCAATCAGATCTATGATCCGACCAGGTGAGCACCATAGGCCAATTCTTGATCACGCACGGAGTTATTGTATGTCGCATAATCACCAAAGAGCAAATTCGAAATGTGAATCTGAGCATTGTGGATGCTGCGGCGGCGTCTACTGCGCCTATAGATCTTTATACGCTTCACGCTGCCATTTGTATTCGTTGTGGTAGCTGTGGCAACCGGGTGGAAGTAGGTTGTACCTTTGCTTTTGATCGCCTGCACTATGAGGCACAGCAGATAGCCGCCAAAGGAGAGAAAGGCCAGAGCAGTGATGCTGATCTGAAACAGGGTCTGCAGCTTGGATGGCTTCTCTTCAACCCAACTGGCTACAGGATCACCTTGCCAAGGATGCGAGGAGCCAACGGCCGATGTGCCACGATCGCTCCTTTAAAAAGATACGAAAACTAGTTCTAAGGAACTTCTGTAAATTAGTATTCTTCCTACCGATCGGCAGCCATCAAAGCCAGTCGCTGGGGTCCATCAGTCGTCTCACTGCAGCCAGCAAAGGCCTCGTCAACGTTTGTCTCGTGGCTCTCTGCGTGGCCCATCAGCTCCATTGATTTCTTCAATACCAACAAATCGTGTATCCGAAAATTCGACAAACAGCTTGCGAATCGTTCTTGCGTGCTGGTCACTGTTGGGCAACAACAAGGCATCAAATGTTCTTCAAACTGTTAGTTAAGGCCCGCAAATAGAGTACATATCGCTTACCGCTGCAGTAGGCCATGGTGCTGTATTTCCTCCACACCTAATCGGCGCGCATGCAAGAAGCGACTGTGCACCAAGAATGGCCATGGATGAAATTGTGCTACAACTCGTACGACTGCAGCAACAGCGCTGGCAACGCTTGCTTGACTCAAGTATTTCGACTGGTTGAGTCAACAGGGTATACTGGCCTTAAAAACATTTTTATTATAAGCAACAGTAATCTGCGACCCGACGAAAACTACATAAATGCTAAGCTTTCAGCTGAAGAGCAATTCCAAATAGAAAAGTTTTTGTTTGATTTCGATTTCATCTGTATATGTGATTCCTGAATTATTTCATGATAGTCATAGATCAAAAAGGCGCAGAGTATTCGCTAGCAGCCATTGCCCATTATAGCACTCGTACTTGTCAAGCTTGGCTGATCAATTAGATCTTGCTGACTTGTCACAAACAGTGGCTCCGACCTATGTGTGAATTATAAACTGTTAAATTTGCTCAAAAGCGTGTCGAATGTTAGATTTTCTTTTATTTTACAATATTTTAATATTCTTTAATTTGTCTAAATATTTGCAGGCCAGAAGATTTGCATCGCATACGTGTTGAGCACATGGAGCGTCAATTGGCCAACCTGACTGGATTGGTCCAAAAGGCATTAGTTAACCAAAATCCCCAAATTGCGCCGATACCGGTACCGACACTGGACTCCAACTATCTCGTCGTTCCAACCCAAATGCAAGGTATATACTTTTCTTTGCTTAACTATTAATAGCATTACATTGAATAGGGTCAATTTTCAGAAAAGAAATAAAAATGATGGGGGCAAATATACTATTCGTATATGAAAAAATGTGTCCTGTTACATTATTAATATTGTACTATATTCATATTTAGAAAAGTCGGGCTAAGCCCACTAACTATATTTATCACGATCAGCAGTCAAGTATATCAGCCATTTCATTTTGTATGATCCTCCATCCGTCCCGGAACCTTAAAAACTTCAGTTTTAATAGTAGATTTTCCCACAGATTGCGCATATCAATAGCTTTTCTCATTTTTGATGGGTTATATATATAATCAAATATTGAACGAACTCTGTCTTATGTATATTTACATTTAGCCAATGGTTCTGCCGATGAGCTATACATTAGAGAAAAGGCACCTAAGCTGGGCAAGAATTCATGTCGTAAGTGTATCCAAAGCGTTGCCACATGCCTCAGTGTCCAAATCCATTTTTTTGTTTTTTTTTTTTTTCAGAAAAATCCGTGTCCTTTGAGAAATCGGTTTCTTTTAGTGACGATATACAGGGAATACCCAAGTCACATAGCCCCCTACATGCCGGTAAATACAAAAAAATAATTAATTATTTATAAGCCATCATTTTCTGTTACATTCTTTATTTTAGCTTTTTTGCTTCGCATTTGTTTTAGTGTTTTTTGCTTAAATTATTTTGTTCTAATCATCATACGTATTTAGTTAAGACTCGTCGATGTGGACAATTTATGCGTTCGTTGACTTTGATTTCATTCTGACATTTAAGAGAGAACGTTGTAAACCTCTTCCCACTGAGAATACAGATCCAAACTGTTTTGTAATTATATATTAACACACATACCCTATTCAAAAAATAATTCTCTGTACCGGACCCAAAAGCTGATACGAAACCAACCAAGCCGGCAATCAAGTCGTCTACCTTGCCACGTACATCCTCCCAAGGTAAGAGCGATATATGAAAGAAACGAAGGCAATTATTTCATTAGCATTATAATTTGTATCAAAAGAATCACGCATGTATTATACGCAAATCACATGTGCCATATATATATATATACATATATATATATATGAATGCTTATTGACAAATTACATTTATATTTTCCATATTCTGAGCCGATAATATCTTTTTGAAAAGGGAAGGAAGTTCACCTACCTCTCTGTCTGTCTGTGTCTCGTTAATCTCGAAAACTACGAAAACTAAAGCTTTGAAATTTCAAATATACAAAAAATACCAAAGTGAGTTTGTAGTCTCTCGTAAAGTCAACGCAGACAAACGTTTCCGATCTTCAATTACCACCATTATTATTATAATTATTTCAATGAAATGACCTTAAAGCTTGAGCTTTGCTGCACAAACACAATTATTTTTTATATTTAAGTCCCGAAAAGAAGAAGATAATACATCTAGAAGTGCAAGGTTCAGAGTATCTGCTAGTCGGGTATGCCCGACTAGGCTATCACTCTTCATTGCTCTATAATTTAATGCTATCCACAGAGCGCGACCGCTTAAAGCCTCCGCCACCGCCAAAGCCGATTGTGCTGGCTCAGACTGCGCATCCCAGCTACAGAGCAGACATCGCACTCGCCCCCGAGGTCTACAATCATTTGCGTGGTCTGCAGAAGAAGGCGAAGGACTTGCGCATGGAAGTGCGCACTCTAAGAAGGCTATCGCAGGCTCAGTCCGTTGCCGTACGGGAGGACATCAAAAGTACCTTCATGCGTATACGTGCCACATTGTTGGCAAGCAGCGGTGGCAGCTTTTGGGGCCAGGGCGATCAGGACACTACGCGTATATCGCGAGAAGAAGAACTGTACAAGCAGGAGGTCATACGGCTGGAAAAGGATCTCAGTGACTTGGAAGCTTCGGTTGAAAATCTTCGCGGCGAGGTAATCAATCGACGTACGCGCGTCAATATGACTGCCGTCGAGGACATGGCCCTGGTTTTAAGCCGCGCAAGGTATAATCTGCTACCATTCGTATTCTTTATGCATGGCCCAGCTGAGTCTCTATTCTTACAGCAAAACTGTCGCTGAGCTGAAGCTCAAGTTTCCGACTTTGTCAAATGGTTTGCGCTGCATACTGTCCAACGAGATGGAAAAAGTAGTACGAGAAGAAAAGTTCCTAAAAGAAGAGCCCGATCGGTTGGAATCGGCTTTGCGTCGCTGCAAAAAGTTAACGGGCACATTAGTGACACTTAAACGGTTTGTAGATTTCCCACACCATTTTTGTATACCCTGAAACCCATAGTGAATAGCTGGGTAAACATATATCGGGTTTTGTAATTGTACATGAAGATCATACATTTAGAGCTACATGGGTCTAGGGTATCTGGCTAATCGGGAATCCCCGACTAGACCCCTCTTAGTTGCTATTGCTGATGGAACCATTTCTCATTCATCAATTAGTTTGGCGAGCGTACAGGAACAACGTTTGCCCCCTAATGAGCCGTCAGTCAATGAGGAGTCTTTACGTTCCGCAGATATTTCGGTCCCCGACAAGGTGAGTTGCCCAATTGATAAATCTATAGAGCTATTTTTGATAAACAAATACACAAAAAAGAAAATAGTTATTTAAAAAACACCTAGGGCTGTATAGCCAATACTAATATTTGCGCATAAAACATCGTTTCATACCGTGTCATACATAT